TCATGATCAGTCCCAGTCAGTCGGACGGCATAGTGTTAAGTCTCACGCCGGTCCCCAGGGACTGGTGCTAGACTTTCCGTTCGGGCCCGGCCAGTCCTCAGGAACCGGCCCAGGCTAGGACCAGAAGGTGCTAACTATTGGTGTTAAATTATTCGCCATCTTTGGACCTAACATTTGGGAATTCCTGTTATAACAATTGGTACAGTATCTCTGAATTTTATGAACACTTAGCCCACCTCTGGTGGCCCACTTGACAGCCGAGTCTGGATCTGAACGGAACGGCAAGCAAAACGGGCTGTGCACTTAACGTGTTAAAGGGTTTATAGAACCCCTTTAGAATAATAAAAATAAAAATGTATATTATTTCAATATTTTTTAAAAGCTGTTCATGTAAAAATTTCGGAACTAGTCGTTTTGGCTAATTAGATAATTCTAGGGTACCTCCGTTGAAGATCCAAAGTCGTTTGCGAGCAATAAATAAGCGATAAAATTTTTACGTGCCCCGCAATGCGAATAATTGTTAATAACTAGGGAGGAAAAGGTGGTTCGAGGATTCTTTCGCGAATTAGGTCGATGGGAATCGAGTTTCCGGTAATCGGGGCGTAAATTGGTTCCTCGAAGTTATCGAGACGCTAAAACCACCCGAAACGAACGGGCCTAGAACACATTCGCGTTTCACGAGACATTCCTTGCGCGGTAGTTGTTCGGAGATATAAGTCGCATCTGTCTTCGAGATTCGAGCCAGAACGAGAAACTGCGACCGTGCCAGCTGCCTTTTATCGGGAATACCGGCGAAAACATATTTTTCTTCCAGTTACCCAAGAAGCGGGTCGTAGTAAACATAACTCTACTTTACAACGCCTAGAAACACGCGGGGAACTTTCTCCGTCAAACATCCGCCGAATACTCCTGGTTCCTTGACGTTTCCTCTAACTACGTCGAAGAGAACATTCTCTAGACTCTGGAAACTTTCCCTAGAAGTCACCCTAGGAATTTTAATCTAGGAACTATATAGGATTAAGAAATCCCTATAAATAAAATTTCGCGCCGAATACTCTCGGTTCCTAGACGTTTCCTCTAACTACGTCGAGGATAAATTCCCTAGACTCTGTAAACTTTCCCTAGAAGTCACTCTTGGAATTTTAATCTCAAATTTCTGAAAGATATTATAATAATCAATTCTAAACATACCACAATCGGTCCTTTCAACAATCAAGTAATCGCAGACGAACTGTCTTGTTTTAAAAAATCCCTATAAATAAAATTTCGCAATACTCCTGGTTCCTAGACGTTTCCTCTAACTATATCGAAAAGAACATTCCCTAGACCCTGGAAACTTTCCCTAGAAATCACTCTAGGAATTTTAATCTACAAACTATCTAGGATTAAATATCCCTATAAATAAAATTTCGGTATTACAAAGACGTCGTTGATTCTAGTAGATTCTAAAACGAATTACAAAGCAAGGCGTTAAGATTAAAGATTCACCAAAGCCGACGAGTGCATGCTATTCTAAAACACGGTTGTCGAACAAGCTCTCTGATGATATCATTCGACTAAAGTGATTTCCACGAGATTGAAATTATGGCACTTGCCAAGACCTCTCGAACCTCGCCAAAGATATTCATCTAGCGAAATCCTCGGAGCCTCGTCGACGGCAGGCTCCGCAGATATCCGTGGAAATTCGAGTCCCGTGCTTCTGGCGAAACTTCCAACGGCGAACGAGGCAGCGAAAGGCACGGGAAAAGTTTAAGGAGCGTCCGGTGATAAAGGAGATCCGGAAGATAACCGTGTCGAGAGATCGGTCGCGAGATTGCCGGCGCGGCGGTAGCAATTGTAGCGATACAATTGCCAAGGCCGGAATTGCCCCTAGCTAGGGATATTCGATCGATGGCCGACTGCGAGAGGGAAGGAAACAAGCCACAAAGAACGCGGAGAAGAACGGCGATGTAAGACGATCTCTGCAAGAACGCGAGAGGGCGTGCTGCTTCTTTTTCACGGGAAATGGCAATTTCTTCGATCGGCAAGTCTCTCTTCCTCCTATAAATAGACCACACCGTGTCGTTCTTCGCGACGCGATACCCAATCGGATACAATTCCATTGAACGTAACTTATAGCCATTTAGAGGCGTTTCGAGCTCCCTCGTCGATTACCGAGTAGTTAGCCAAGAATTTCGTTTATTTCCCCAAGTTTCCTCCACAATTCCGCACGAATGGAGTACCGATATTTATTATTTGTCGCGGATAATCGTCCATCGACACGAGGACAGGAACACTGCGCAAACGACATTCGGCACGAAAGAAATGCTCGCCACGATTCGTGACCCATTCGTGCGGCTGGTTTATCGATAAGGGTTGTTTACGAAGCCCTTAATCAATTCAGTGGTACCACATAGAGCTACTGTTTACTCGGGCCACTGCCAATATTTGGACTCACGTCTGCTTTCGATCATCCAAGATTACCATGTTTTCCCTACGAACCAGACCTCGTATAACGAAAAGTGTCTGTCTCCAAGATGGCACCTCGCACGATTCCTACGAGCTCCTCTCGTGCGAGAGACCTACTTCTTACACCTCCACTTAAATAACTCCAATATTTGCAGATGTCAAACCTCGAAACTGTAACCACATTTCACGCCTATCCCGCATTGCGAATTTCATTCGCTTCGAAGTCTGTCGAACGTGAAAAATGAGTCTTTATGATACGTTTATTTCTGGAATTTTTGATTAATTATTCCCGATATTTCTGTAAATGGAATAGCAAAATTTCCTGAGTATTGTAGGTAATACTTCCATCGACGATAACATCCGGCAGAAATTCTTCCAAGTTTCTTTCAGGCACCCGAATAATACGAATATTCGCGAATACCGAACCGAAGGTTCTAAACTATTCGATATCAGAAATTTAATCGACTATAGAAAACGGTACCTCTTTCAATGCTCGCACCTAGCACAATTCTTTCAAGCTCCTTCACCAACACCTCCGGCAAATAACTCCGATATCCAGATCGCAAATACCGAGGCTGAAAATTCTAAACAACATTCCACAGCTATTTCATTTCGTGCCACAAGTTTAATCGACTTAGGAGCCCACCGGGTATTGAAAATGGCACCACTCTCGACCCCAAATTCACCTGGGGATATTGTAGGACACCGAAAACTGATTTTGAGACACCAAAAAGGTGAGAACAACGAGAACAGAATAACACGAACACAAAACTCATAAAACTAATTTAACTTGCGAAAAGAACACCGAAATAACGCAACGAAAACACAGAGAAATACACTTTTTGTACTCGAGAGGTGCCCTTCAGTCGTCATTTGATAAAATTTCGAACAATTTTCGATATTAATTAATAATATATGTCAAATGTAAGATAATGTAACGGTGTGAGAGGTATCGAAATCAAATAATTCTACGTGTTAATTATTATAAATCTTTTATTTACCGCTCAAAAAAATATCGGCAGCTCTGTAATAGAAAATCTGTCAACTCCTACCCTTTTTTTGCCAAAAAGTTATCCAGTGCAAAGGGTTAACTTTCTTTCTAACACCGAGTAACTCACGCCCGTTCCTGTAACAATTTATTTCTAAGGACTCTGTTTTGATCGTCAAGGATCCTGCTTTTATGCATTCCTTAATCTACATTTCACCTCCACGTAGGGACCACGCAACTTAATTTTGTTACCCAAAATAATTTTCCCATTTACTTCCAAAAAATATCCATCGGTTTATAATTTGTTTTTGTTGGCAATGGCTGATTCGCGATTTCTCTCCGAAATGGTACCCTACAGTATCAATGGCGTACCGTGCAGCCAGGGGGGCACGGAGTTCTTACAACGGAGACCATAGTCGCGATGAACTCGCGGAACGGTGGAAAATTCGATCGAATTCGGCGAAACTGCACGCGAAACGATCGAGATCTCTATTGCTCTGCTTGTCCGGTAATCGATTACAGGGGTGTATACCAGTTGGCACGGGTTAACGAGATATCGAAACGGCCATTCGGAGTTCACAAAGGTCCACCGAATGCCGGCTTCATTGTCAGAGTGCCGTGAACGCGCTGAGAACAATGCGGTGTATCATTAACGAGCCGAGTGTACTTAGTTAGGTCAGCTTCGTCAGTTTCTTAATTGGCTTCTGCACAACACCGCAGTACGACGAATCAGCGAGCGACTCCAGCTGCTGGGAACACGGACAACAGTCTCTGAACCTGCCTGACGACAGGTAGGTCGGATTTTCAGAGAAATCCGAGTTTTACGAGAAATCTCGCGCGATATTCAATGGTTTTTCTATTGGAAGTGTCTTTGGTCTAGAAAAATGGGAATCTTCCATTTGGAGGTCGCGTAATAAATTCCCTTTCGAAATTTATGTCTTTATTTCTACTGATAATAGCACCTGGCAATGCAAAGTAGAGAAATATATATAGAGTACTATGCAGGGAAATAAATACTGGAATGACAAGAGTTAAAGATGGCAGGTGTTACGAGATATTATACAGGTCCACGAGCAGCTTTTTTAAATCAGTATAGCGGCTAGAGCAAGGACTTAGCGTTGAGGGCTTGCAGATGTCGACTCTCTAATGAGTCTAGCTCCAACAGTAAACCTACCGCGGCCTAAATGATGAGAGAAAATTTGATTTTAAATTTCAGTCCAAGATACTGCAAATTTCTCATCAGAATCATTATGTCCGCAATTTTCCCGTCGTCTGACCAAGCATCGATAATTCTACTCAAAGGAATCGACAGGATCGCCGAGTATGTTAACATAATCGCAGAATTTTGTACCCAAAGGATACTGTCGAATATTAATTTTTCGTTCACGAGGAAGGGAGCGCAAGGTTTCTATTTTTGCCACAGTTTGGACTCGTGTTCGGCGAATTCTGTTTCCCAGAATTATTGTTCTCTGCCCGAAAATGGGTTAGACACGAGTATTTGTCTAGCTTCGACCGCGATTCCGCGAACTTGCTCAAAGTATCGAATGAAAGTTCCAGGACTCACCAGTTCTCAGAGGCGTCCTCGTCGAGGATGGTCCCGTCAGCAAGTCGATGAGGTAAGTTGGTCGTGGCTCTCGGTCGATTCCTGACCCTTGGCGGACCAACGACACCGGTCCTGGAGAGGCCAGCACGGAAGGACGCCCTTGCCCTGTCGACTGCTCGAGTCAACGTCATTGAATCTTATTAGTGATTGTTAGTAGAAACTGCTAGCTATGCATGGCGGGAAAGATATATTGCGAAAAGACCGTAGATCCGGCGCCTCGGTCACAGATTCCTTCGCGAATTTAATTCCTCGCGCCTCAGCCTCCTAACCTCCCGGCTAAACTCCGCTCTATCATCTCGTAAACCGGCCAGCGTAATAATCCAGCCCGGTCCACCGGTTTTATACGGCACAATATTATCAGACGAAGTTTACGAGCGCCGTTTTATACGTGCTACTTTCCGCAATATATTTTTCTCGGCGAACTGGGGTGTTTGAGCGAGTTACGCGGCAAACGAAGTTAGTCACCGGTAGGATTAAACAAACTTTCAGCAAGGAAACGGGATCATGAATCGCGCTGCACGGACACTTCGGTGCACGGGGAACAAGCACGATCACTTTGTTTGGGGAATTAAGCGGACACGTTGACGAAGATATAGGGATTTTTGTGCGAGTACGTGAGAGCAGAAGCTAGAGAGTGTCTATTGATTTAACCCTTCGAGGAATTGGGAAGAGTATGATACCTGATTTCTTTACACGTTTCGCGGATGAATCGAGATTAGTTTTTATATATTTGGAAGGCATATTTAATTTGCGAAATTAGTTAACCCCTTGTGTTACCATTTAAATTCCAATGATACGTATTATAGTTAACAACATCGGTTACGACGAGACATGTCAGACACGATGAACCACTTCGTCCGAACACGGCAGAGAATAATACACAACTGAGACAGAAAGACATTGACGAAAATGAAGCACGAATTGACCTGTGATGTTTACATTGGGTCCCCTACGAACCACGGCTCTCGCCCGTGATACTCATGTTGGACCCGATCTCTTTACCACGTGTCTCACACGATATTGTAGAATCAGGGGTTAATATTTTTACTTGGTATGATAACATATAGTAAATATACTTGAAATACTTTTTCGAGCGCAGGTCCTCCTCGAAGGGTTAAACTAGGCCAGTCCTTTGCATGCAAAAGCTACAGACTGTCATGTATGTACATACATCTACACGAATAAATTAAACAAAGTTCTACTAATTATTTTCTACAAGCTTACAGGATATGGAATGCAATTTAATGTACATAAATGTGGATAAATATTCAATTAATAATTTTAACGTCACTGGTGCTGACCAAGGATTAATATACCTAGCAATAAAAGAGGTCGGGTTGCTATTTAATGGTGAAAGCTTGCGAAAATTTTGGACACTAGATCCATAGACGTGTGGACTATTTAAGCAGCTAAAATACAATAATAAAACAGCCTAATTCATTCTCCTATGTTACCTTTCTTAAAAGAAGATCTAAGGATCGTAACAATTAGGGGGAACAATTTGAGCGTTAAGGGATGTTGATTCTTTTCAAACGTCAAACCTCGCAGGGTGGCTAGGTGGTACGAAAGATGGTACGATGATTCCGATTTATCGTTACACGCGCGATTGGATCGTTGGCACACGAATTCCACGAGGCTCTGTACGATCCTCGTAAAGCTCTTTGATTTTGGGCCAAGCGCGAGTCGTTGAACTTCAGGTACCGAAATACAATAACCGTCTCTGATTTGATCACACGAACCAAAAGATACTGGCAGGGTCGTGAAAGTGGCGACGAAAAACTCCGCGGGGAATGAGATATTACAAATTTATAACCCGTCCATTAAATGACGAGAAAAATTGAAATATCGTTCGACAAGACCAATCTTGTGGTCCGGGATAAATGTTCAGGAATCAATTCCAGTCTAAAGGAAGTCGAAAAAGAAAAGAAAAGAGGGGGAACCGAGGATATTATACACTATTTACTCTTTCATTAATGGCGGACAACTGCCGCATATATACGTATATATTGGCAGAAGCCATCAGTGTAGAAATGGAAAATGGGGGACACTCTTTTATTAGGATAGAGTGTCTATCCTATCCTGGAACTCGGGTCTAGAGGACCCATCTAGGATCTGGCTGCTAGATGGGTCGTAGGAGGTCGGGGCAACGAGGTCTCCACGAGGGTGACCCTTTGGGGGGGCTAACTCGGAGGAAGGAGTCTTCTCCACTCTTAACCTTGACGTAGAAGGAGTTTCTCCTCCTTCTGGGAGGCGTTTGTCCCCTGGTCGGGCTTTGAAAGGACCCGTTCTGGAGAACAGAGTCAGTTACTAACTAGTCGTCATAGTCGTCAGGTCAGTGAGTAAAGAGATAGAGTTATTCAGTCGGAAAAGGCCAGCCAATAAAGGAAATTCCTATATCAGTTTGGCCAAACTCGTATATACGTTCGGCGAAAACAACTGATAGGGTCGAGGGACTCATAAATGTGTCCCATGTAAACGCGTTGCTATGGCCGAGAAATACATATATGCGTCTACTGTTGCGGCCCTAGAACGCACGTTCCAAGTTAATTGATGGACTGTTTTATGTCCTTATTGACAGCGTCGCTATGAACGAAAATGAGCACTGATAATTTCGAATGACCATCTTGACAGCGACTAGACCTACGGTATGATTTATTCACAATCGCTTCGTTCGCAAAAGGATGGAATATCGTTTCTCTAAATGTCGAAGATTCAATTGCAGTGTGAAGGAAGTCGAGAGAAGGGAAAGAATGGTGGAAGCTCGGAAGGAAAGGTGTCGGTGATTGGAATTTGTGGCGATGGGTGCAATTTTCCCGGGTGCCATCGATCGTTATTAAACGGGGAAGAAAGCACCCCCTTTCTCGTGCGATGTCCATCGAAATAGCTGCTCGTTGCGAGAAGAAACTCGAAGATCGATAGGATCGTTTCTCGGAATTGTCCTTAAACAGCGAATAATAATAGCGAGACTCCTTCCTCCAGGTATTACCTGCGTTTCACGGAAATGAAATACACCTCTCATCGCGTTACCAAGTTGATAAAAGAATATACTCCTGGAAAAATAAAAAGCACGTTAGGAAAGCGACAGAAGGATGGAACGAGTCGATGGAAAATCGAGTGGCAGGAAATAAATACGATACCGATTTCCATCAAACTCGAGGCCGGTTTTCATGGAACGATCGGGTTTAATTAAAAATTGTTTGCCAGTGATTACGGCTTTCGTTCTCTCGTGGAAGCCGCGAAAAAAAATCGGGGGAAAAAATTATGCACGTATGTGCACGTACCCGTACACGTACACGTCATGCACACGTGTGTGTGTGTGTGCGTGTAAAGAAAGAAGGGAAGAGGAGCGAACGTGTGGCTCGATCGTCCACCACGGACAGCCACACGTCCATTTTAATAATCAATTTCATTTCCAGGGTTGTATCCATCAGCTGATTCGCCCGTAGAGGTTGAAGGTGGATTTATCAACCCGTAGGTGGGGTGTCTATAGCTTCCTATACGGGGGTATAATATTTATTACCGGGTCAGGGTTAACTGTTAGGCGCGCCACACACGTCCAGGCGACTGTTCTGCGGCGTCACTCTAAAAATACTTTCGCGAACACTCCAGATATAAAACGTGACCACGCGTCTCTTCCTCCTCGCGTGTGCCCGGCCTGTGCACGCGCGTGTACTTGGAATTGCAGCGAAATCGTCGGAAGACTATAATAAGAGTTGGTGGTTAACGAGAAGCAGAGGAGGACCGAAGCCAACGAGAAACTGGCCCAAGGTTGATAAGAAAAATCGTGGAACACCGTGGACGAGGCTCGTTCAACCGCGAGCTTTCCTATTCCGAATTTACCACTTAAAACTTAAACACTCGGATGGCCGGGGACGATAACGAAAGTCGAACGAATAGTCGGCGGATCAATTACGACAGATTCGAGGAGGGCCATCCTCCCAGATCCGAGAGCCAGAAACTTTTCTCATAAGATGATCCTGTCAACCGGCGAGAAAACCGGGGGTCGGATGAATAGGAGAAGAAATAACGGCGCAGGGTAGAGATCGGGGTATTCCCGTCCGCCATTGCAGCGTTGGGGAGCCGATCGAAGCGCGACACGCGGAAGGACGTGCAAAAGAGTAATTCGCGAGTGGCGCAGGGTATCGCTGCGCGACTCATTATGCGGGCAAATCTGACCTCGATCTCCGATTGTAATAATCTTCGCCGGCTGCTACAACGTGTGCTACATGGCCCAGTTGCCAGCGGGCCGGCCCTGAATGTCGACAACGCTGTCTTATACCGATCGGTGCAGCAGAAAATAATGATCCTCCAGCTTAAAAGCCGCAGGAAGCTATATGCGAGCGTGGCACGAAATGTTTTGGCAAGGCACCGTGTCAAGCGTCCAGCGTGCGTTTCGTCTTCTCGCTCCACCACTGCCAACGAATTTAGTCGCTCTACAGGGATTCCAGTTCAGAACCTAACCTGTTCCCCTGCAATACGCTGCAATTGCCTGTCCTATTATCCCTGCACGCGGCAGTGCGCGTGCTATTTACCCTGATGTTGTTGATCAGGGTGCGAGGGTGATCAGGGTGCTTCGTTGTTGGGAAACACTCTGCTGGAAAACTGGATCCTTTCGGGGTAGCACGACGAGCTTCTCGTGAACCGAGATATATACATATCGGTATCGCATATACCGTGTACAGTTTCAAATTGCTCGTGATACCGGTTGACCGGGGATGGGCGAAAGGGTGCGGAGCGATGGGCGAGGGTGACGGATGGGTGTGTTGGATGGCCGAAGTTTCGGGAACGAGCATTTATTTCGTGTTTCTAGAATTCCAACTGAATTCGATCGGACTGTTGGATAGGCGAATCGGAAGACAGGTCTAGGAGACACGTGTGCCGTCTTGGTTTCGGGTAAGTTTGCGCTTTGGCTGATTTATTGTTGGCAATTTGCGTGATCGGTTGAGCCGATACAGAGGGCTCGTAGATAGGGTACGAACGATTAATTAATTTTGATTTTATTCTGTCTCCTTGACGCGATGTCTACCGAGGCACGATGAGCATGTTCGTTTAGGAAGACATTAATTCTCTGTTAAATATCGAGTTTAGAAAAGATTCCTCTTCTGTGGAGATAATTATTTTAATTAGATTCACCGCGTTTAATTAAGCGAAGAGCGCACTCGAGATTGCATTCGAAGCACACTTCCCGCGGAAAAAAATTGGCTAGCAGGGGTACTTGTGTTTCCACCACGTTCCAGCTTGCCCTTTTAATCACGCAAAGAAGACAGGGAAACACACAAACAGCCGATTTCCATGATTTAATCACGAGAGTCCTGGACTCGTGTCAATCCTTATCCCTGATCGCATCGCTGGGTTGCGAAATCGAATTTTCTCGTAAAAAGCGACGGAATCCCGACACTCGGAATACCTTGACTATCACTTTGCGGGTTCTAAATTCATTCTCGAGTTGTTTAGAAGACGCGAGTCCCTGTTTCGTATCGTCTAGAGCAGTTGGATCTTACCTCCGGAGCTGATTTAAGACACAGAAGCTTGTCTTGGGTCAAGAACTTGAGGATTCCACCTTGATGCTAGTCCAAAATTCTGAAACCATTTGTAAACAGCTCGTAAAACAGTACCAGTCTCGGTGTCACTCTAAACACGTGGGTCGAACGTAAAATTAAATTGACCTCGAATAATGGATCTTCGCTGTACGCTTTCTAGGATCCTGAAGCAAAGATCATATTTAAATGTTTCTAGGAAAATGGAGAAAAATTTTCTCACATCGCAAAATAAATACCAGGACTCGAGTCTGACTCTATCAGATGAGAACCACTACTTTAGGATGATCCAAAGGGAATACCAACGACACTGTGATCGATTAGATAGGTTCCACGAGTCCTCTTTGTGCAGCCAACAGTCCCACGAGCCTACATGCACACACGGTAACGTATATACGTTTCTAACATTGCAAATATATTAATTAAACCTTCTCCACCACCACCATCGCGAGAATTTCCAATTTTTCAACTACACCCACGATTCCTTTCATCTCCGGGCCTTTGAAGCCTCCATTTTTGGGTTCACTGGTACTCGCTGAACAATAGCTAATCCGATCCATCGGCGTGGTTCGTTTAACGGTTTAGTCGAGCGACGTAACCGGTTCCAGCGTGAAATTAGCCCTTTAATCGGGTCCGCGGAGAGACAAGGGGCGAAAGGAAGCGCGAAACCCGCCCCGCGGAATTTCATTAGTCGCCGAGGGGAAAGAATTCGGTGCATCGCATTCTGTCGGACAATAAAGCGGCTCGGTGGTAATTTTTACGAGCACCTTTCGTACATCAGTCTGTGGCAAGGAAGGTCACCCCGCGCTCCAAGTACGCTCCTACAGACACACCCAGTGTTAACACTTAACTACGTGACCCAGTGTCCTCGGTGTTGCACAACGAAGGCAAAGCGAGAAAAGGGGAATGTCTGCGGAATTAAATAGGACAAACAGAAGCGTGGGTGTGACATTTTTAGCAGAATCGAAAGTGCTTTCCTTTCCTCGGTGCATTATAGCCTGTGCGTTGCATATCGTAAATATACACATGCCCAAACAATGGCTCGAGAACGCGATTTCGATAACGTGCTACGATCCCAGGATCTATAAGCGATTACTCAACACGGAGTCGGTAAAAATTCCTTATTTCAGGAATTTTTAGTTTTTTAATTTAGTAGAGATGTAGCTGCTTTTAGAAAGGATTAATGTCGATTTTGATTCAGATAGGAAGAAAAATGCACGTGTACCTAATTATCTTGTCATATCACTTTGACACTACATTTGCCAACACTGGTCGTTTCGTGTCATCTGATGAAGGTTGCACGTGAATGATGGTAGAAATGGAACGAGTAAAGTAAGAGAAATAAATGTTTACAAATTGTTTCAAGACAGCTTAAAACTTTCATGCGATTGCAATCGAGAATATGACACAGCAGACAGCTAAAATAGATAACACAGATAAGAGAGATAACGCAATTAACAAAACGATGAATCGTGAAATCGGATGACGAAAGCGCACGAAATGCAGAATTTTGAATGAAAAGTTGAAAATCGTTTAAATCCCGATAGATTTAGTGTCAATTATTCGTATTATAGTTAAGCACGCGTTACGGGTGGGTAATTCTTATGTTAAACGGTGGAAGATTCGAGAAAATATGCACAGCAATCGCGCAAATGCAAATTGGACGTTAAATTTATGAAAATCCTTCAAACTTAATAGAGTTAAAATGGAAAATGGAAGAAACGTAATAGGACGGGGGACGAAAAAGAGAAAGAAATTGGAACTTACAGCGTGTGACGAGCCTGTTGTTGGTCTGGCTTGCGGGCGGAATTGTAGACTGCGGAGGTGGCTGCGAGCTCAGGTCCTCGAAGTTTATGATTTGCAAGCAGATGTCGTCCACCTCGCTCCTTATTAACGCTATCACCACGCTGCACAGAAATTTGGTGCCTGCGGGAAAGAAATTCGCCTCATTAGCATACGCCCACGTCTATCTGAAATAAGCAGTCTCTCGAGCTGTCAACGCTTGTCATCGTTTTCGAAAAACGAAAACGAGTCGTCAACTTTCACCCTCACGATGATGAATCGATAAAAATATTAACCGCGTTATTTTTGCAAACGTAATAAAAACGAATCGCGAGAGATACTCCCTAAAATTATCTCGGGAAAGAATTTGGCAGAATTTGACAGAGTTTTGGTGAATTTTGGTGAATTTTTTGCAAAAGAAATACCGTTTCCAGTGTTCTTTGTGTACTTTATCGTTCCAAAAGAACGAGGATCGATCGACAGTCGGTTACACAATTCCCATTTTAATACCAAGCATGCATCTTTCGATGATAGTCCACCCTGACCGGAAACCCCCAAGCTGGGCGCGCTCGTGGTGCAACAAATATCGATTTCCGGCTATTAATGAAGAAATTATACAGCCGAGCAGATACGCTCGTCTTCATAAAGAAATGCTCTTTCATCGTATCGTATTAAACGCGAACATCCGTTAGACCACGAGCGTCTGGCGTGATAAACATCCACCTTTGACGTTTAGCGAGCGTCTAATAGACGAGGCCCGTTTCACGCCTTGTATTTCACTCGACTTGCTAGGTCAGAATGGAGAAATCCGCGATAAAGGCGATATTGGAAATTTCTAGGAATTCGTAGTCTGGATTCGATCCAAATGTTTCTGTTGACCGTCGTTAAGGGTCGTTGCAGGCGTGACGCAAAGACTTTTACCGCGTAACACGGCTAAATGGGGTAACGCGATTGCACCACTTTGCTAATCTTCCGTTTGGATTCCTGGCGACTCGAGGAATTACCTTATCGCACCGACTGTCACGTGCGAATGACATAACTTCGCGAAACTGCCCTGTTAAAACGGACCCCTGGATCAATGAAAAATTGTGCACTGCGGGATACGTGCACTTTCCCGTGTCGTTTCGGATAGATACGAACTCGAAGCTTACGCTAGTCATCGATAACTCGAACTGCGAGGACTACTTCTGTCACTCGCTACCTCCTGCCAAATTCCTTCCTTTACAAGGTACGAAAATTTGGAACGAAATTACAGCGAAATATTATTACACAAACTGTTAAAAAGTGAACTCTCGATTGCTAGAGTATTCAATCCCCTTAAAAACTCGAATTTTCTCAAACTCCCTGCAATCCTCTGTCACTACCAAACTCCACCGACCCTAATTCGTCGGTATCAAATCCGGCGGAATTCTCGGTCGCTTTTCAATGGCCAAAAGTGTTGCAAAAAGCCTGCTCGCGGCATTTGCGACGAGCCCGAAGGTCACGGAAGCCCGTAACCACGGGAACACGATTAACTACGACGACGCGGTGGCTTTTGTCGCAGCTCCGCGGACGCAGCTAATTAGCCGGTGTGTTTACGAGTCAAGGTACGTTGGATCGGGTCCAAAAGGGCTCGACAAAAGGTAAGTGTGTCCCGTGCGCGGACGAAAGCGTGGCCAGCCTTCGGATTCCCGATTCGGACAGGCCTGCTTGCGCAACGGTGCCGAGATGGAAAACACACAGGCTGACACGCTGGCGCGTAATCGGTCGGATAAGCGTGCCAAGAGTGCCACCGGCCACCTGGATCCTCGTCGTTGGACGTCATCGATGTGGAACGTCAGCGATGATGAACCTTGTACGCGGGGTTCGGATCGAGGAATCGTGACCGGCCACTTGGCCGAGTGAGGCATGAATTATGGATGGAGAGCTTCAACTTGTTTGATTCTCCACGGCTCCTCTGACAGATGAGCCAGGGTGGTGTCTGTCCAGGCGACCACGTATTCCGCCAATATTCGTTGGATCTTTTCGAACCTAGCATCGAAAGGGGGTGGAAGAAGAAAGGGGTGCGCAGTAAGCTTCGAGAAACCATTATGTAATCCCTGGTGAACCAACGAGTGGAAGGCTCGATAACCAGTGGGAACAGTCGGACCAGGTATCGTAGGACTGTTTGGGCCTCTCGTTGATAGTGTACGAGGTATAGGGGAAGCAGGGAAATTACGGAGAATGAAGCGAGAAGATGATCCCTGCTAAGGGCTGTCATACCCGACAGGTTTACACGGTCAGGCTGTTGGCAGGATAATAAATTCCGCGCTGTTTAACCAGAGGGACCGCGGACGTTCGATGACAGGTGGAAGACGACGAAATTCGATGATCAATTACGAGGCATTCCCCGTTCGACCTGGCCACTCCTCGTGTCTAGATAGCGGCTAATATGTGCAATACGTGTGGTTTCTTCGGCAACGTCACAGCAAGCTGTCCTATCGATCCGTTGCTGGCTTTCTTTCTCTGTTACTCTTTTCCTCTCGCTTACTCTTTGTCCCGGTGGAATTACGCACGCAGACGGGTCACGCACAGCTGGCTTGTCAGGTCCGACTGAAATGCGAGCATGCGAGGAAGAAACACTGGTAAAACAGCCCTCGCGGGCCGCGTTGCGCCTTTCACATTTTCTCGCTCCATTTTTCATGCGGCCTGCGTTTTACCCACTGCCACGTTAAACTTTCACGTCGCCGCGAATTCACCCTGAAAAGACACCCCTAGCTTCCGGGGGACCGCCCGACACCTTCCTCCCTTTGCCTTTTCGGCTTAACCGTGTTTCGCGCTGCGTTCAGCTCGCGTTCCGCCATCTTCAAAAGGCTCAACCTTGATGCGATCGATTCGATCGTTAGAATTTTAATCCCTCGATCGAGTCGTTCATCGCGTTCCACGTGTACACGAGAGTTAGATTCATTTCGACGCCTCGTCAGTTGCGCCGTGTTTAACCTCGTACTCGTGAAGCCCTGTTCTAAGGGCTCAACCTTGGTCCCATCGTGAGAATTTTAATCCCTGGAATTAATTCGTCGCGTTTCGCGTGATCGTCGAAATAATGATCTATGGAAGAGTTTCGTCCCTGTGATCGGTCGTTGAGATAGAAAGATCGATGCCCTTTCCAGGCGAGATTTATATTAACGGTATTAGGTGTCTGAGAGAAGATACACCTCGTTAAGGTACAAATAGAGGAAGGGACAGACCCCTTTAATGACGACTTTAATTATAGTGAACGAAGTACGCGTAGATGAGACGACGAGGACACTTGCTTTGTTCCGACTTCATTACTTTCTGCTTGCTCAAGTTCCAGGTCATTTCAAAGCAGTAGGAATGAAAGAAAAGAACAAGCTACCGAGGTTTAAACATATTGTACCCTCCGATTTCACTGTCCAGCGTTGAACCCGCGTGGTTAGGGGTACATCCGAGGAAGAAAAAGGGGGGAAAAGGAAAGAGGATAAAATTGCAATGACAAAGGAGCGTGAACGTCATCAGTAGCTGGTCGTCAGTAGCTCCCATTTGTTCGCCTTCTTGATTCCAGAAATTGAATACGAAAAGGAGCCCCAAAGGAAACAAGTAACCAGTGAAAATTCCAGTGGTACTCCGACTTAATTGAAACGTCAGCCTGTGTAAACAAGAGAGGGGTGGAAAAAGCTCGGGGGAAAGGCTTCGTTTGACGGCGTGAAACGTTCGTTTTCACGGCTTACGTGCGCTCCTCCTCGTCACTTTGCCGGCGCAGGAAGTCGCAGAATAAATGGCGGCGCGCCAACGACTTTCTTGATAAAAATTCAAGATGCGGTTTTAAAGGATCGCGTGCCGTTAGACGACCAATGCTGAGAACACTTGCTTTGTTTCAGTCGAGTAGTCCGGGGTCTCGTTAGGTCCTCGTGGTTCCGCGGCTTTTAAACCGACGACGAGGAGGAGGAGAACGCTGGATGAGTTCAGACGGCTTCTGCGATGCCAGGGACGAAGGAAAAAGGGAAAAACAAAAAATAAAGAAGCGACGGATGAAGAAAGAGAGAGCGAGGGAGAGAGAGAGAGACGCCAGAGGAACGAGAAGAGATGCGCAAGCAACAAGGGTGAACGCACCCTGCATCCATTCAGCGTGACGTCCTTGGCTGAAGAAGGAGGATGCGAGCAACGGAGGGATGCAGACGATGCTCTTTCAGCGAGCTGCATCGTCTTCTTCCCTTGGAAAAAAGGAGAAAGAGGAGAAAAAGGAACCAATAATCCGTCCGCTGGATAAAACACCGGCGATCGATTCTGTAGAAGCCGCTGGCTTTCGGCGAGCCAGGGGTTTTAGAGAAATGGTTCCTTCCATGGGGATGCTGAAAGCTGCTTGGGTGCTTTTAAAATTTCCCCCCTCGGGTCTCGGCAAGCTCCGGGGTGAAATATTAATCGCGCAGATTAATCTTGTTTGTTCGTTAGCTGCTAAATTGCCGAAGGATTACGCGATAAAAGTGATCGTTAAGGGAGAACGTTCCGCCGGGGTACTCGCCTAGGGTGTTCTCACCGAGTCAATCGGTTAATTTAGGTATCGATTCGGCGAACCTTCGTGCAAGTCACGAAGTTTGCGACAAGTTCGCGTACGTCCCGGTGCTTTATGAGGAACCGGTAGCGTAACAGTTTGCCGAGTGTGCGGCCGTTTTGTGATGACTACGGCCCCGAGAGAGAGACGGAGCGAGACCAATGGTCTGTATCTATTTCAAGACGTCGACTCGCAGACACTAATAAACTCGTGTTGATACCTCTAATGTTCTCACGATAGGGCCTACACGTGCAGAATTCTATGGCGCTTTATAACAGTTGAGACACGCGTCGAGAAATAGGATTCCGTTGTCTCGACGGACTCCAACTTGAACTTTCCTCGGCGCCCTGTCAACTGTACGTTAACCTAGGATCAAGAAGAATAGAGGATACGTCGGGGAAATTTACGTCGTAAATTTCCAGCAATCGGCCCCTTGAATCTTCTTTTCGCCTCGCCATTTGTCCGACGAGACCTCGAAGGCCGTGCTGTCTTTATACATATTTTTAGACCACCAGCAGAGGCTACTGTCCACGTTGCTCTCGGGGCGAAGAAAGAATCCGAAGATGCGAAAGAAATCACGCGATTCCTCGGAACGACGATCGATCATCGCCACTGG